CGGCGCACAGCCACCCGGACCAGACCCAAAGGGTGCTGTTGGTACACAGCTGCCCGGCAGGGGCGCCACTTTCATAGGAGAGTGCACCCGGCATGCCTGCTATTGCCCGCAGGGCTCTGGGCTACCCTGATGGAGACCCTGCCCACAGCAGCTTAGGGGATTAACCCGGAAGCTGCTCCAGGAGTGGGGGTAACCAACACAGGCAGCGGAGAAGGGCAAAGCATTCAGTAAGCAGGAAAGAACTTTGTTCTCCCAGCTGACACACGTGCTACCGGCCTACAGCTACCTCTATCATCATGAAAAGGCAGAAGAATTTAGTCTAGTCCAAAATAGTCCAGACAACCCTTGAGAGAGGGCCAGGGGAGATAGACCTAACCAATCTCCCCCTAAAATAATTCAAAATAAAGGTCATAACCATGCTGATGGATCTTTAGAGAAATACACAAGAGCTAAAGGATGAAGTCCCTAAATAATCAATGGATCAACAACCAAATTAAAACAGAGATCAAGCAATATATGGAAACAAATGACAACAACACAAAGCCCCAACTTCTGTGGGATGCAGCGAAGCAGTCTTAAGAGGAAAGTATATAGCAATCCAGGCATATTTAAGAAGGAAGAACAATCCCAAATGAATAGTCTAACGTCACAATTATCAAAATTGGATGAAGAAGAACAAATGAGGCCTATAGTCAGCAGAAAGAGGGACATAATAAAGATCAGTGAAGAAATAAATAAAATCGAGAAGAATAAAACAACAGAAAAAAATCAATGAAACCAAGAGCTGGTTCTTTGAGAAAATAAAAAAAATAGATAAGCCCCTAGTCAGACTTATTAAGAGAAAAAGAGAATCAACACACATAACAGAATCAGAAACAAGAAAGGAAAAATCACGATGGACCCCACAGAAATACAAAGAATTATTAGAGAGTAATATGAAAAACTAGATGCTAACAAGCTGGAAAACCTAGAAGAAATGGACAACTTCTTGGAAAAATACAACCTTCCAAGACAGACCAAGGAAGAAACAGAAAATCTAAACAAACCAACTACCAGCAACGAAATTGAAGCGGTAATCAAAAAATTACCCAGGAACAAAACCCCCGGACCAGACGGATTTACTTCAGAATTTTATCAGACATACAGAGAAGACATAATACCCATTCTCCTTAAAGTTTTCCAAAAAATAGAAGAGGAGGGAATACTCCCAAACTCATTCTATGAAGCCAACATCACCCTAATAACAAAACCAGGCAAAGACCCCACCAAAAAAGAAAACTACAGACCAATATCCCTGATGAACCTAGATGCAAAAATACTCAACAAAACAAACCGAATTCAAAAATACATCAACAGAATCATACACCATGACCAAGTGGGATTCATCCCAGGGATGCAAGGATGGTACAACATTCGAAAATCCATCAACGTCATCCACCATATAAACAAAAAGAAGGACAAAAACCACATGATTATCTAAATAGATGCTGAAAAAGCATTCAACAAAATTCAACATCCATTCATGATAAAAACTGTCAACACAATGGGTATAGAGGGCAAGTACCTCAACATAATAAAGGCCATATACAATAAACCCACAGCCAACATTATACTGAACAGCGAGAGGCTGAAAGCTTTTCCTCTGAGATTGGGAACAAGATAGGGATGCCCATTCTCCCCACTGTTATTCAACATAGTACTGGACAAAACAAAGAAATACAAGGAATCCAGATTGGTAAAGAAGAAGTTAAACTGCCACTATTTGCAGATGACATAATATTGTACATAAAAAACCCTAAAGACTTCACTCCAAAACTACTACAGCTAATATCGGAATTCAGCAAGTTACAGGATACAAAATTAACACAAAGAAATCTGTGGCTTTCCTATACACTAACAATGAAGTAACAGAAAGAGAAATGAGGAAAACAATTCCATTCACAAGCGCATCAAAAAGAATAAACTACCTAGGAATAAACCTAACCAAGGAAGTGAAAGACCTGTACCCTGAAAACTATAAGACACTTTTAAGAGAAATTAAAGAGAACACTAACAAATGGAAACTCATCCTATGCTCTTGGATAGGAAGAATTAATATTGTCAAGATGGCCATCCTGCCCAAAGCAAGATAAAGATTTGATGCAATCCCTATCTTCAAGGAACTGGAACAAATAGTTCTAAAATTCATATGGAACCACCAAAGACCCTGAATAGCCAAAGCAATCCTGAGAAGGAAGAATAAAGTGGGAGTG